ATCACCTTTACATTTTAAACGAGATCGAGGAACCATCAGATGTAATTGATCGTTAGAACGGAAAGACCTATTGGATTGATGCAAACTGATTAAATCAGAAATATACTCTGGTGCTAAACCATGCAAAGCTTTAAAAACATATAATAGCACTTTATAATGAATCCTGTATTGTACAGGAAGCCAGTGTAATTTAATAAGCACAGGAGTAATATGCTCTCTCTTCTTAGTACCCGTTAAAAGCCTAGCTGCTGAATTCTGAACAAGCTGCAGGCGGGAGAGAGAGACCTGACTCACACCCAGATACAATGCATTACAATAATCCAAACGAGATGACAAAAGCATGCACAACTTTCTCCAAGTCCTCAAAAGAAAGGATAGACTTCAACTTAGATATAGATCTAAGATGGAAAAAACAATTTTTAACAACGGCATTAATTTGACGATCAAATTTGAGCTCTGAGTCAAAAATGACACCAAGGTTTTTCACTCTAGAAAGATTTTACCCAGGAAGTAACCCCAGGCAGTCAGTGACATCATCCACACATCCATTTTTACCAAATAAAATAAACTCAGACTTATTCTCATTCAGTTGGAGAAAATGATTAGCCAACCAACACTTAACCTCAGCCAAACATTCATACAGAGATTGAATGGATAAATGATCCTTGCATTTTAATGGTAAATAAAGTTGTGAGTCATCAGCATACAAATGATAATGAATGCAGTGTTTTTCAAAAATTGATCCTAGAGGGAGCATATAAAGGGAAAACAAACCTGGTCCCAGGATTGAACCCTGAGGAACCCCACACATAAGAGGGGCAACAGATGAAGAGTAATTCCCTAGACTGACTGAAAAAGTCCTATCTTTTAAATATGCAGAAAACCATTCTAAGGCTAAACCCTGAATGCCAACATGGTCTCTAAGGCGATCAATGAGAATCTTAGGATCAACTGTGCAAATGCTGCGGTAAGATCTAAAAGTAACAGAACAACACAACTTCCAGAATCAGCGCCACATAGAATATCATTAGTAACCCTCAAAAGAGCTGATTCTGTACTATGGCCGGCTCTAAACCCTAACTGAAATCTATCTGAAATGTTGTTCTTCACCAAAAAATCATTAAGCTGTGCATACACAATCTTCTCCAGTATCTTTGAAATAAAAGGCAATTTTGAAATGGGATGAAAATTATTCATATCAGAGGAGTTTAAACCAGCTTTTTTAAAGAAGGGGCTGGATAACTGCATGTTTAAAACTAGGTGGAACAACACCAAATGTCAAGCTACTATTCATAATAGTTAAAATGCATGTACCAATAGAATTAACCACTTCTTTAAATAAAAGAAGGAATCACATCACAGGGAGACCTAGTGGGCTTCATGTGCGCAATTATTTGGTAACACTTTACAATAAGGTTCATTAGTTAACTACATTAGTTAACATGAACTAATAATGAACTGCACTTATACAGCGTTTATTAATCTTTGTTAATGTTAATTTCAACATTTACTAATACATTATTAAAATCTTGTTAACATTAGTTAATGCACTGTGAACTAACATGAACTAACAATTAACATCTGTATTTTATTAACTAACGTGAGCGTAGATTAGTAAATACAGTAACAAATGTATTGCTCATGGTTAGTTCATGTTAGTTAATACATTAACTAATGTTTAACTAATGAACCTTATTGTAAAGTGTTACCAATTATTTCTTTGAGCTGTGGAAGAGAGACAGGCGTAAAGCAAGTCAATTGATTTGGAAGGACAGAGTGTACAATAAAATCATTAGTAACAGATGAAATCTGGGATCTAATTCCAGCAGTCTTATCAATGAAAAATTGTAAAAACTTTTCACATGTGTCAACAGAAGGAGAGCGTAATGGCATAACAACAGGATGGAGTACAGTGTTTATAGTAGAAAAAGCACATAATATAAGATAATATCAGAAAAATAATTAGATCTAGCTAATTTAACAGCTCTTTGGTATTCACTCAAACAACTCTTCAAAATCTCATAAGAAACCTGTAGTTTATCTTTAAGCCATTTACGTTCGGCCCTTCTGCACTCTTGCCTGAGAGCACGGGTATTACTGTTCAACCAGGGCTGTGTCTTGACCTTTTTATTCCTAATTTCCAAAGGAGCCACAAGATCTAAAATATCTGAACATGTAGAGTAGAACTGATTGACCAACTGTTCAGGTCCAATACAAGTAGAGGGAGACTCAATCAAGCTAATTAAAGGAAAAACTCCAAAGGCTGCTGAAAATTTACTAGCAGCACAAGGAGTAAGAGCACGAGAAGCAATAGAAGAAGAAACATTCATAATCTGAGTACTACATGGGGCTAAAAAAGACAGTGTCTGCAATTTTCACCCCACTAACTGAAAACCCCAAAGATAATACAAGGTCAAAAGTATGACCACGCTCATGTGTTGGACCAGAAACACACTGTAAAAGATCAAATGACTCTAATAAATTTAAAAACTCACTAACCAGGGGCTTCGAAGGGCAACAAACATGTATGTTGAAATCCCCCAAAATTAAAATATTGTCAAAAGAAGGGACAATAACAGATAAAAATTCAGAAAACTCCTGAAAAATATCCCCATGAATATTTGGGGGTCTATAAATCAAAACACATAACACAGATTTAAAAGAATTAAACATAATTAACTGAGTTTCAATCGTACAGTGAGACTTAGAAGGTAAAAGTCTGCATTTGAACCTGTCTTTAAAAATAACAGCAAGACCACCACCCCGGCCAACAGACCTGGGTGTACTAAAAAAAACTACAACCAGGAGGAGAAAGTTCAGAGAGAGGAGTCGTTTCACTGACGTTGAGCCAAGTCTCAGTTACAAATAAGAAGTCTAATTCATGAGAGAGAAAAAGATCATTCAAAATAAAAGACTTCTTTGCAAGGGACCTTGCATTAATCAACGCCATTGTCACTGGAATGGAGTCAGGAAAAGGTACAGTTGTGTGTAAAGTGGTATCGTTTACCGGACTTCCATAGTGCAGGAAATGAAGATTTTGGAGATTTACTCTCCAATCGCCTGACCACCGCCTCGCACAAACCATCCGCGAGGACCAGAGCACTGGCACAGATGAAGACGGAAAGACGGGAACGAGGTATGAGCATCTTAGGTTCGGCATCACATCAACGGCCTCCGCCACTTTAGACGCAGGTCAGATGAAAGGATATTTCCCAAACTTCTTTGATCTCACAAGGCTTCCAGCACGCTTCCCACATTACCTTCTGCGTTTCTTCAACAGGCACAGACACCCCGGCAGGTAACACATTTTCCTCAGAGCGAATGGCACCCCAGCACCCCGACAAGTAACACACCCCGGCAGGTAACACATTTTCCTCAGTGCGGCTGGCACATAACGAGGATGCAGCTGGCAGACTTCTCCGGGGTCGCAACTCAAACATCCAAACACCACAGATTGAATATTCAGTAGAGTCAAGCGATCGTACACCAGGGGAGAACAAGCAGTACGAGTGATAAAACAAACAAGGAAAACTAAAACAAATAACATAGATAAACTGCGACGGCAAGCCGGCAAACATCCTGGTGCCATCTTGACTTTCATTCTTTCAACAAGGTTTGGGAGGAGCACAATCAGATAATCAACTAATTCAGCACAGGTGGAGCTCATCTAGTTGTTCAACTTAATTAGCATGATATGTGTGTATATATATATATATATACACACAGCCAACTTACCTCTGTCCCACGACAGTTCTCCGGCATCCCTCCTCCACCCCAACGCCTCACTCATT